AAAAGTACGTTGTATAAATCCTGGTGAATGTTTGCAACAAATCATATTAACTTTGCAGGAGATCAGTTGAATATTGCAAGCCGTGCAATGTGATTTTGAAAACAACAAGCTCGATTTTAGGGAAATACTTTGTTAAAAAGAGATCGGAGTTGTAAATTTATTAAAAATAATAACAAATATTATAATAAAATAGAGATGAAAATAATAAAATGTTGCCTGAGTTGGGTCTCGCGTGCAGAGGGGAAAATTCACCAATTTGCACTAAATTTGGACTTTTGACCTAATTCTTATGTGCATGAGACCAACTCCTTTCTGGGCCTTTCAATAGCCTAATATCAAGCACCCATAAATAACAACTTTAGAACCACTTAAACAAGTAATGTAGGATCTTTTGAAATATACTAACAATTATAATGATCCCCAAATATTTCAAAAGATTCTATAAAAAAATTAGTTTTGCTAGGTTAAAAGCTTGGGTATAAATGTTTTGAAATGGTATCTTCAAGCCCATAAACCATATCTAAACTGGTAGGTCGTAATACACAGAGTCTTGGTGAAGCAAGTTTTATGAACCAAACTCTTTTATTGTATGTTAGAGGTCTTACCAATCATATTAAACCCCACCCCCCCCCCTTCAATCATATTAAACCCCACCCCCCCCACCCCCCTTCCCAATTCTCAATATTTAAACACTAAAATTTGCACTAATAGGCCATGCATTTACCATATTAAACCCCCCCCCCCCCCCCTTCCCAATTCTCAATATTAACACTATTTTGCACTAATAGGCCATGCATACACCTAGTAATCCATATGTGCTCTAGAGACTGTGCCACAATCTCGTGGAGGGCAGCCTCACTCTATAGTTACATAAGTGATTCCATTAAGTGTATACTGCAATTTATACACCACCCATAAAGGATATATGAACCATTAAGAGATTTTAGCTCAACCACTCATTTACTGTAGTCTAGCATAACTCACATCATATGAATGGATAAAAAATAAGTGACTTGTTATTATCCGTAATAACCTTATTCATGGGATCTTTAATCGTAAAGGTTAGGTTACCATCACTATTAATTTCTAAACTAGCTTAAGTACCATTTCCCTTTATGTTTCGTATATTAGTTTTCTTGTTAATGGTTTAGTCAAATGATCGACTAAATTCACTTCTGAATGTACGAAATTGATTAATATAACTCCATCTTTTAGCAAGTACTTAACCATATAATTTCTCAACAGATATGTTTACCTTTGAAAGTTTTATTCTTTACAATGACTATTGCTACTTGGCAATTACAATTTATAGACACATAAAGTATTGGTTTTATTCCTAATAGATTATTGGCTAAGAAATTTCTGAACTACTCAGCCTTATTATCAGCCAGTTCTAGAGCTATAAACTCTAACTCCATAATTCATGTAGAAATATCATTTGCTTGACTGACTTCCATATAACTACATCATCACCAAGGGTGAATATATAACCACTAGTGGTTATTATCTCATTTGAATTTGAAATCCAATTCACATCAATGTATCCTTTTAATACATTGGGAAATCTAGCATACATAATATCATAGTTCATGCTACCTCCCAAATATTTCATCAATCTACCTAATGCAGCTCAATGATCATGATTGAGATTATTTCATCAGTTCATTTTGTGTTTAGATATTTTCTTTCAAAGATCCATCTATTGCCAATAACTTTAGCTCCTAGAGATAATCTCCCATCTGAAAAGTTTTCAATGATAAATTTATATTTTCCAGCATATTTGGCGGTGGATTTGGCGATCACAGAATCCCAAATTTCCTTAGCTTTCTTATAGGATGAGTTAACACCGAACATGTCATTTGATAGTGTGTTAATAATGATATGTTGGTACACTTTGTTCGCATAAGTCCAAAGCTCCACTTGTTTTGGACCAACAATGCGAGGAGGACTAAAGTCAGTGAAGGCAATAGCAATACCATGTATATCCATATTTGAATGAATTCATTTCTGTCATCTTTTGAAATTTTGGCAGCTGAACATTTCAATTTTGAGATATCAAGAAATGGTTTGATGAAGGGCACAACAAGAATAACAAGACTTTAGAGAGGAGCACTAGCAAAAGTTGGATTTTCATTGGTTAGAGTAACAATAGGTATTATGGAGTTGTTAACAGTAAAAAGAGGAAGTCGTAATCCTTTTAGATTGTTAGAAGACGAGTAATGATTCAAGAAACAGTAAGTCTAAGACATGCAAAATAGCACTATCCTAAAAGAATTATTTCACCATACATGTGAAGGGAAAAAATGTGAAATTTCTCCTAGGATTTAATAGACTGAAAGAACTGATGTTTTCATATCATCAAGAGTTGACAAATAATTGATACAATAACCTAGCAAAAGCTCCCTATTTATGGCACAAAATACAAATAAGTTGCATAAATCCTAGTGAACATTTGCAATTGATTAGATTAACATTGCAGGAGATCAGTTTAAACGCCGTAAATTGTACAACATGATTTTGCAAACAACAAGATTTTAGAAAAATACTTGAAAAAAAAAAGAGAATTTCAATTTAGAAGTTCTCTATTAAAAAAATAATAAAAATATTGAAATAAAATAGATATGAAAAAAAAATAAAATGCAGTTTGAGTTAGGCCTCATGTGCAGGGAGCAAATTATCAGTTTGGACTATATTTGGACTTTCGGCCCAATTCTTGAGCACGCAAGGCTAATCGGTTTTTACACCTTTCAAAAATGCAATATCAAGCACACATAAACAAATCATTTTAAAGTCTATTAAATAAGTAAAGTGAATTCTTTTGAAATACACTCACACTTACAACCCTTTTTTTCTTTTGTTTATAACCATAGGTGTCCTTAACACATCGGGCTTAGCTAATTCTGCTCCTGCCGCATTAGACTCATAAGGGATAAGCACTCTTAACAGAGATTTTCTTCATTCACAATGATCGAATACTCAATCTCTTACTTAAAGAACTTGAGTCTTTTTTACTGAAATGAATCCCATAATAGAGTGATCAAGTAATATATATAGTTTGAGAATACCATTTTCAAATTAATGATCCAAAATTTGAATTTGGAAAACCAGGCACTAATTAACTAGTGGACCCCATCTATTTATTTGCACAGGTAATCCCTATCAAAAGATAATAATCTAGCTTGAAAAAAATAAAATTGCGAAGATAGTAGCTCTTGTAATTGTAAAATATTTATTATTTTTGATTGACATGGACTTTGAATTGCTTGCCTTCAATATTAGGATCCTTGCCTCTAAGAACTCTATATATAGGGTCTTTCATTTTCCATTCAAATCACACAAAGTAACAGCAATTACTAGCTTGGTAGGTTAATTGATCCCTTACAATTAGCCTCCTGTAAGTCTCTTCTCTCTCCACCAACCCCCTCCTTTCTTTGTCAAGGTGCACACACACTTCCATATCTCTTTCAACTTGTTAAGGTTTCCACCTGCATTTCTTAAACAATCTCTTGTTAGAACAAATCTCCCACGAACATTATTTCACCCAAACACATTGTTTATATCTATTCTCTTTGTTTTGCATCGGAATTCTCCATTTTTGAGTTGGCCACCTTTGTATATATATATATATATATGTATACACATTTCTGTAAGGTGGCTAATTATCTTCTTGTAATGACCTTTTTATACCCATCTAAATATTTTGTTACTGTGAAATTTTTTTCAAAATGATTTTTTTTCTATTTTTTTCTGTTTTTTGAGTGTATGCATGATTTTTGTTTGGTGAATGCAAGTCCTGTACATATTCTATATCATGTCTGATGTTGGCTTTGGATCAACTAAAATGGTATTCCTCAAAAGAGGGTGATTACCATTTGATCTTAAAAATCAGATCTTGATGGTTTGATAATCAAGATCATCACTCTTTCTCTTCTTTCTCTTTCTTTCTCTTCTCTCTCTCTCTCTCTCTCTCTCTCTCTCTCTCTCTCTTCTTTTTCTCTCTCTCTATTGCTATGATGAATTGTTTTGTCTTTTGATACAATCAAGTCTGTCCATTTGTAGTATATGTGTCAGAATTCCAGGTCATTTTGATTTATACACATTGAGTGCTTCAGTTTAGACTCTCATGCATGAACGGCAATGGCAAATGGATAACTCTGATTATTTGTTGACCAATCCTTAAAATTTTTAGTTTTTACTTTTTCTTTTTCTAATTTTCTTTTTATCACTGGTCTGAATAAGTTTATACTAAAACAATATTTACCTCTATTTATATGTATATCCATATAATTAATTGTAATTTAGAAAAATTGTCACTTTTTGCTACTGTTTTATCCTTTTTTTTTTCCCTCAGTGAGCTAATTATTGGCTGAATATATATATGGGGTGCAGGTAATTGTTTCTCCAGTACAGCCAATATACAGTTAGAGGCAATATCTAGTCCACCTTTCTTCTGTTAACTTAGGTCCACACATAAATCACCATTGGTTTATATATATATATATATATATATATTATGGGGTGCAGGTAATTGTTTCTCCAGTACAGCCAATATTACATGAGAGGCAATATTTCTAGTCCACCTTTTTCTGTTAACTTAGGTCCACACATAAATTCACCATTGGTTTATATATATATTATATATATATATATTGCTAGAGTCATGTTTTATATATTCTGTTTTTTAACAAGACCCATTTTTATATAAAACTCAAGATCTCATAAGTGAAAAAGCAAGGAGATATATATATATATTGCTAGAGTCATTTTTATATATTCTGTTTTTAACAAGACCCATTTTTATATAAAATTCAGATCTCATAAGCAAAAGCAAGGAGAGATGGATTCTGGATTGTTTAATGGAGCAGCTTACTGTAATAACAATGGCAAAGTGGAAATGGTGGACCTGACACTGAAACTAGGGTTACCATATGAGGCTAAAAATCCCTCTCATCTTAGGCAACATGTTAATCATGTCCCCACAACCCCTGATTTTGCTTACACTGCCTCTCAGGTAGAATTCTTTATGCTTAAGCTAGTCAATTTCTAAAATATTTTAAGATTTTCTTTTCTTCTGTTTGGATGATTTATAAAAAAATAAAACTAATCGAATCAAATTGCACTAAGGAATTCACAATTCTGTTTGGTTCAATTTGTTTTTTTTTTTTTAAAAAAATTCAGTTTAATTTTGTTTTAATAGAAAATAAAATCAATTTTCTTTTTCTGTTTGGTTTTTATTTTATATATATAACCGATTTGTTGTCTATCAAAATTGTCTGAGGTGGATCTTGAAAATTTTATAAAGAAAACTTGTCTTTTTTTGCATAAGCTACTATGGTAATCAAGTGATCTAGTTCTTTGATCTTAGTGTATGATTTTATTCCAGAAAACAAAACTTTTATGATCATTCTTTTTTTTTTTTTTTTTTTTTTTTTTTAAGGAGAACTTGAAATTATTCATTTTTTATAATAATATCCACTTTAATATGTTAATTATGCACCAAAACTAATATAATTTATTATTAAATAATTAAATTGTTTAATGATTTTGATTTTTTTTTAACTTTCACAATTAAAAAAAAAATTATTTTGTTAATTGTTTAAGGAAAATTTTACCCTTTAAAGTTAGACTTTCACTGTAAAGACAAAAATAAAACCTAATGACATCATATACACCAACCTGCTTTTAAAATGCTTTATTTTCATATGCTGATTGGACCATCACATACTGCACACATGAATGGTAGTGTTTGGCTAAAATTTAAATCAAAATTATTCCAATTCTATTTATGTTGAGAATTTTAAAATGTTTTGTTTTAATTAACTTTTCAATAAATAAATAATATATATCATTTGATTATTTACTTATTATATATATATGATTATTTACTTATTATATATATAGTAACCGAAAAGAATAATCTATATTTTATTTAGATCTAATAATAATCTATATTTTATTTAGATCTAATAGGTTAATATATCTTAAATATTAGATTGTTTTCTTTATATTTTTAACCCATTTTAAAAATAATTGATTTATTAATCCCTTAGTGATTATTCCGTTAAATTTGAAAATTTTGACAGACAAAACTATTACCCGTATTCCATGGTTTACAATAATTTAACTTTAAATAAAAAAAAATTCAAACATTATCAAAAAAAATGAAAAAATATTAGTCCTTTTATTAAATGTCCTTTTATTAAATCCTTTATATCATACTTAAGTTTACGTACACATGACATGTAATTTCTCTCTTCTAAAATTATAATTTCAGTTTAGGTGTTCTTAAATATTAGTCCTATTTACATTATTGCAAATGCTTTTTTTTTTTTTTTTTACTTTCTCACAATACTTTTACATAATAATTTGAGTGAATAATTACTAATATTAGTTGAATTTACTAGATAGTAGGAAAAATCTTAAGATAATTTTAAATCTTGATATACTAACTATTTATCCTATTTTGAAAGTTTCAAGAAATTATTAATATAAAATCTTTAATTAGGGTCTTTAATATTCTATTTTGAAAGTTTCAAGAAATTATTAATATAAAATCTTTAATTAGGGTCTTTAATATTATATATGGAAAAATAAGAAAAAACACTATAGTTAAATTAATTTAACTAACTATTCTTAAATTGCTCAAAAACATTTGAAAAGAAATTATCTTAGTATCCACTCTAAAAAGTGTAAAGAATACATTTGTCATCATGGCATGATCTAATAGGAATTTTTTCAATATGAATATTATAAATATGGTCGATTTTTTGACACAGTAATGAATAATATTTAGTAATCATGAGAGAAAATATTCTAACATTCTTTTAAGGGAGTAAATATTACATCTTTCATTGTGATACGATCTGATAAGATTGTATTAAAATGACAACTTCAGATTTCTTGGCTTCTTGTGGCGCATAATGAATAATTTGTTAATCGTACCAAAAATATTATGACAGTATTCTAATGGGAGTAAATATTATACCCAATATCATAGTTTAATCTAATAGGATTATGTTAATGTGAATATCATAGATCTCGTGACATCTTATGGCACGTAGTGGATAACTTGGCAGTCATAAGAGAAAATATTCCAATATTCTTCTAAGGAGAGTAGATATTACCCCGGCATCATATGGTGTGATCTAATAGTATGTGAATACTATATAGATGTTTTGGCATGTTGTGGCGCATAATGAATAATTCATCGGTCATATGAAAAAATGTTCTGACATTGTTCTAATTGGGGCAAATATTATAACCGATATCATAGTTTCATTTAATAGGATTGTGTTAATTTGAATACTATAGATTTCATAGCATCTTATGGTGCGTAGTGAATAACTTTGGAGTCATAAGAGAAAATTTTCTGATATTCTTCTAAGGAGAGTAAATATTATATTGTCATCATGGTGTGATCTAATAGGATGTGAAGAGAAAATATTTCTGAATAATTTCTTCTAAGGCAGCGCAAGTAAATATTTATATTGTCATTCATAGGTGTTGGATATTTCTAATTAGGGATGTAATACTATTAGATCTTTTAGCATCGTATGTAGCGCAGTAATGAATAATTTGTAATGAATACGAGGCAAAATATTTCTGACATCTATTCTAATTGGAAGTAAATATCACACCGTCATCATAATTTTGATATAATTAGGATGTTAATGCTATTCTGACATCATTCTAATTGGAGTAAATATCACACCGTCATCATAATTTGATATAATAGGATGTTAATGCTATAGATTTCCTGGTATCTTGTGGCGCATAATGAATAACTCGGTAGTAGTCATAAGAAAAAAATATTATGATATCTTTATATAGGAGAGTAAATACTACACCTGTATAATAAATTTTGTTTCTAAAATCATAAATTTTGCACATTTTTTTTAGACTAAGCTATATACTTAATTTGTTACTTCTTTTTCTTAGATACTTAGGCTAGATTTGATAAATAATGAAATGTAATGTAATCATAAGAATTTTTAATGTCATATTTACAATAAAAACACTTTTAATTACATTTTATTACTGTTTACCAAAATGGAATTACTTTCACAAGTTGAATTCTTATAATTATTAGCTAATGTAATATGGAATCATAGTGTATGAACTTATAATATCTGCTTAGTTTATATTACTTTTCATTTTAATGATTAATTTATTATTATTTATTAATCTATGATCTAGAAAGCTTTTCAATTCTAAAATTTTTTTACCTTATTGTGTTTGTTTTGTTATTGTCTTCTTTATTTCATTTACTAGTTAATTTGCATAAATTCAACTAAATTCCATGCTACCCTTTATAATCCTAAAAAGATACTTAAACTTATAAATAAACTTCTCATTGTTATTATTTTTATTTTATGCTATATTAATTATATTGAGATAGGATCCAGTTGTTACAAACTTTCACACTTACTACTTTTTATGTAAACAGATACAAGTTTATGGATATAAATAATAGATAAAAGATATAAAGTTTATTTCTTGGTTTAAATACTAAAAATCATATTATACGTGAAAATTGATATACGTACTTGAACAGGCAGCACCGACTTTCAGCTATGCGATGATGATGATGGGAGGAGGCCGAGCTGCTACAAATAACTATGGGATGGGAGGAGGAAACTATGGAATGAGAGGAGGCGGAGTTGCTGCAAACAACTATGGGATGGGAGGAGGAAACTATGGGATGAGAGGAGGCGGAGCTGCTACAAACAACTATGGGATAAGAGGAGGAAACTATGGGATGACAGGAGGCGGACTTGCTACAAACAACTATGAGATAGGAGGGGGCCGAGCTGCTACAAACAACTATGGGATTGGAGGAGGCAGAGCTGCTACAAACAACTATGGCATTGGAGGAGGCCAAGCTGCTATAAACCACTATGGGATGATTAAGGCATTGGAGGAGGCCAAGCTGCTATAAACCACTATGGGATGATTAATCGCATGGGAAATGTTGGTAAGATTGCTATTAAATTTGGATTTGAACATTATAAGCTTGACGTTTAATAGGCTGGATTGTATGATCTCATCTCTAGTACACGTTGCTTTTTATCATGTTAAAAGAAGCAGAATAATTTTGCAGATGTATTGCCTGAGAAATGAGTATTTTTTTTGGCTTGGCTATGAAGACTTTGTGTTTGATTTTATTTTAACTATTTATTCTCTCAGTCTTAAGATAAATAATAGTTGTATCATATGAACTTTTTATTGTTTTAGTTGCAGATTTTTTTACGTAACATTTTCGGATCCGGTTGGGTTTTTCAAGGAGCGCCTATTGGCTTTGGTTTAGACACCTGAAATTATTAAGTTTTTCCTAGTGTTTTATGAAAACTAATAAAGTAGTTAACTTGTCTATAAAAAAGGTTTATAAGGTTAAGTTTTTGTACAAGAATGAGTTTATCAGCTATTAGATTTTGAAATGAAGACTATTAATTAACCATTTTTGTTTCAGGAATGGGTAACATAGGAAGTAATCTTCTTGGGGGCCAAAACCTGAACTCATGGGCATATGATATGGGAAGCTCATCGACAAGTTAATCTTCTTGGGTCGGCCAAAACCCTGAAACTCCCATGGGCATATGATATGGGAAGCTTCAATCGACCGATGGACATTTTGACGGCACCATCACCAAATATGCTACAGGAATTCCTGCTTACCAGAACATCAATGGTTGGTTTGGACATTGCCCTCATTTCAATACCAGAACATCAATGGTGGTTTGACATTGCCTCCATTTCAACCTCATAGCTTGACTAGCTACACACTCCTTGACTGCTCTCCTTTCAAGGCACGCCAGACTGGAAAGTCCTCTTCTGTTGCAAGGCGCCCACGCAATGGGAACAACATTAACCCTCACAGGAGGTGCACCAACTATAATTGCAACACTAATGATACTCCCATGTGGCGTAAAGGTCCTCTTGGTCCCAAGGTATGTGTAATATGCTTCGATGTCTTATGATATTGGGAAATTGGAATTGTCTAGAAGTTACTATTTTCTTTTGTTTTGTTAGCAATTTTTTTTTCTTTTTATGAGGAAGGAAGCCATAGTTCTAACTGGGTTCAGCTCACTACTTTCCTATACTTAAATCTCTCATTTGCTACTTAGTTTCACTCACGTCGAATGATGTGAGTGGTTTTAAGATGACTTCCAAAATTAGGTAGGAATTTTCCTTTGGAACTCATGTTTTGTTAGATCCCTCGACGGATTGCTTGTTGGCTCACTCATGATGTTAGTGGTATAGCTTATCCTAAATCATGCTTATAATTCTTTAAGCTTTACTCTCTATTAAAAAAAATATAATTCTTTAAGCTTTACTCTCTATTAAAAAAAAAAATAAAAATAAAACAAAAAAAAGAGATGACTTTCTTAAGAGGGTTGATCTTCCCTAAGTTTAGAAGCTAGAAATTGGCTTTACTATCCCCTTAATTAGTATAATATTTAGGACTAATTAGGGAAAGTAAACTTTTGCTATATTATATGAAATTACATTTTATTTTACATTTCTATGCATTTATTATTTTATATTTCAATGAAATGTTGAGAAGTATTGATGTTTTTGTGATATTGAAAAACCGAAAAAAATTTATACTTATTTGGAAGCTTACAAAAAAAAATTACTAAAAAAACAATTTTCTCTTTTCAAAAACAAATTATAATTTAGGAAAAGTTATCAATTTAGTTTTCTCTACATAAAATAAAATTTTATGTTCATCATTAATATTGTTTTCATCAATTTCATGTAAGATATTATATAAATAAAATATTTGAAATATAAACTTTATATTTAAGCTGGATTAGATACTAAATTCATTTCAACTCAACTAAAACTGTTCAAATCAATCCATTTGATTTGAATTTGAGAGAAGCAAACGGTAAAAGATTGGTCTCATTTTCACTTTTTCTTTTTGTTTGTATATGACAAGATAAGGATGTAGTAGATAAAGAAAGAACTGTTTATTGTGGGTCCCAATGCCACCCAATTTTAACAGTCCCTAATTACAATTGATATTTAATTGGTTTGACTCAACTAGTGTAACTGCAACTAATTTCAAATGGAGTTTGTTTTGAAAACATAAGAATTTGCTGTACTAGTGTAACTTCGTCAACTTAGATTTCAAAATGGAGTTTGTTTTGAAAACATAAAAGAATTGTGCTTGTAATATCCATTATTATCTAATATATATACTTATATATATAATATAATATATATATATAATATATATATATATTAATACTATATATCCTTTATTGGAATTGAATATATATATCTTTATTGAATTGATTTGGTTCAGTTATTAAGCGAACTTAATTTTTATAAGAGTAAAAATATAAGTTCGATATTTGAAAACTATACTTTATCAGAAAAATTAAAAACATTTACACTATACAGTCCGAAAAGGATAACAATCCCTTGTTATAAAAAAAATAAAATGGTTTTGTCACTTATATATATATATATATATCATTGTTGGACTAATTTGACCTTTTGCTTGCAGTCATTATGCAATGCTTGTGGAATAAAATATCGGAAGGAAGCGGAGAAACGAAAAGCCAAAGAAGCAGCCAAAGATTCAAAAGCTTGAAGGATTTCAAAGTTCTCAAAGAAATTAAAATAAAAGCTTGCTTTTTTTCATAAAAAGTAGTTTGGACCTTGGTGTGTTGTTTTTATGTTGTTGCTGTTGTAACTTCTATAAATCGACTATTTAAGCTTCTTTCCGCCAAACAATGGCAAGAACATATAGAAATATATTATGCTTCAAAAGGTTGGCATAAACTATTGGCTTAATAAGTAAAGTGAAATTTATAAATTTATTCTCATATTACAGCATAATTAATTACTTTTTCTTGGTTTTTTTACTTTTTCATAATTAATTACTTTTTCTTGGTTTTTTAAATACACTATTTTATCTACGGCATAATTAATTACTTTTTCTTGGTTTTTTAAATACACTATTTTATCTACGGATGTAATTCGATCGGTATGAAATGGAATGATCCTTATTTTAATTTTATTTCAAAATACTTGGGAATATAAAACTTCATTTCATTCCGTTCCAAATGTTTTTTTTTTTTGGAATTTAAAATCTTATACCAATATCTTTTTATGAAAATTCGATAATTCCAAAATTTTTAACCATAAAAATAAATCTAGTCAATTATGATTTATTTTAAGACATAAATTTTTAAACTTAATAAGAAATACTCGATTTATTTATTTAAAATTGAATATAAGTACTTAAAAAATATAATTAATATTTCATATATTAAAAATGGAAGCTCATTAATGAGGAATGAGAATATTCTAGGAGCAGATATGGACTCCAAACCTAAAAGGGGCCAAGGAAAAACTTTCAAAATTAAAGAGGTCAAAATCAAAGGAAAAATAATTTTGTTGCACTATTTTATAAGGGAAATTTTTTAAAAAAATTTGGAGCTTGCGAGGTCTAAGCTCCTCCTAGTCTCCCTCCTTCTGTCTTTAGATGTACTTTAACTCGGCAACTTTCCATCTAATTAATAATAAAGCAACAACAAATAAAGAAAATGCAAAGTTAGTGTGATCGCGAAATGGATACAATAAAACCTAAAAAAATTAGAAATAGAAATAAGAAAATAAAAGTAAAAATAGATCAAAAGAGCAATTCAAATAAAAAAATTTAAGAATTTCAAAGTTAATAATTAAAAAAGAATTTTTATTTTAAAGTATAACAAAAAAATATAATATTTTTTTTCTCATCACTTTGACATGAATCAAAGAAAATCAATGAAATGAAAACTCCAAACTTTACGTTAAGTGGGGAAAAGAGTATCGACATTTGGGTTTTTTTTTTTTTTTTTTTTTGATATGTCTTCTGTCAGCTGGTTCCTCTCCCTGGCCGGTTGGTTTTTTTTTTTTTTTTTTTGATATGTCTGTCTGTCAGCTGGTTCCTCCTCCCCTGCCGGTTGATGTTCCAGTCCCGGCTGGGCAACCTCCTAGAGTTTCTAATCTTTCACTAGCACCTGGGATCTCTTTTCGTGATTGTCTTCTTTCTCAATCAACTCAGGCCTTGAACCATTCTTTCATTTTTCAGTGTTAAGTTTTTCAGTTGGGTGATGCCTGGGCAGGAAAAGTCCGCTTGGAGTATGAGGGTTTTGACCCTTTGAAACTAAAAGTAGTGGTTGCACTGGAGGTTATTTAAGAGCATAGTGAACAATGGACTGATTGTTTGATTGTTATAGTGTACGGAAAATCATTTGGTTTTTCCTTTTTGGTTAATCGCCTAAATTTGCTAGGGAAACCTGGATCAAGTTTGGAAGTTATTGATTTAGGCTATGGATTTTACTTGACTAAATTTGATGATCGAGAGGATATGTTACGTATTATTTCTGAAGGGCCATGTTTAATAGGGGGTCAACCATTATCTATCCAGAAGTGGAAGCCTGGTTTTCAGCCTTCGACGATTATTCTTTCTTCCATGAGTACTTGGATCCAGCTTATGGAGTTTCCTATGGAGTTTTCTTGTGATGAGGTTCTTTTTACTGCGGCTAGTGCGGTGGGCACTCTGATTAAAATTGATCGTCAAACTGCACTGGCTACTAGGGATAAGTTTGCTAGAGTTTATGTTGAGTTAGACCTATCTCAGTCTTTGATCCCCATGTTTTTGTTGGTGGAGTGTGGATGAGGGTGGAGTATGAAGGTATTATTAGCCTCTATTCTTCTTGTGGTAGTGTGGTTCATCGCTCGGAGGTCTGTTCGGATTCTGCCATGGAGGTAGTTGAGGTTAATAAGGAGTTTGGTGGTTCACAGGATAAGGCAATGCAGGAGAGTGGTTTGAATGTTAAAAATTCAAATGATGGGTTTGATGCTTGGATGGTGGCTTAGTGTAGACCGCGTCAAAATTTCAAAAAGATTTTAACTTTTAGTGTTAAGGATCATTCCCGATCTAATAAGTCAACTGGTAATCGGTTTGCTTCTTGGGCAAATGAGGAGGGATAGTTGCATGAAGATTCGGTGGCCATGTAAAATTTTTGCTATATTAACTCCTGTAGAAATTGTGTGGGCCAAACTAGAGGGAAGGCCCCTCAGGTTGCACTGGAGTCTTCCAAAGGGCCTGTTCTTAGACTCATTTTTGGCCTGGTAATGGTCCTTCTAGTTTGAATGATGGACTAGGTTCTTCAAGTTTGCTGTAGGCTCATTCTTTTCCATCTAGTGTTTCTGGCGGGTCTACTGTTTTGGCTACGCCATCCTTTGTTAGCATTGGGTTGGAGGATAAAGACTTGGATGTGGGTCGGTCTATTGGGACGGAGCCTACCTCTGCGGTAGTGTCGAGGTTAGATGTTTTATTGGGGCCTGACGGGGGTTTGAGGTCTGGGTTGGTAGTGCGTTCAGAGGGGTCCATTAGTGTTGGTGTACCAAGTGCCAAAGGGAACCGAAGTCCCCTGAACTGCAAACTATTACGGTCTCTCGACATTATTGCAGGCACAGTTTGCTAGTGATGGCAGTGGTGCTCCGGCGGCTGGCTGTGTTGACATTGCGAACTCCTCTAGTGACGAGGATGGTGATGTTTCTACTGAGAAAGATGATGTGGTTGTTGGGCAGTCCAATCACCGATGTCAAAGCCGGAGTCCACATCGAGTTTGAGTTCCAATTGCTGGGTTCCTCCTTTTCCTTTGCATTTTTTCTTATGGATTTAAAAATTTCTATGCGGAACTATGGGGCTGCGGGTAAGAGGAGTTTTTGAACTCAAGTTAATGAAATTCAGAGGGTGCATAGGCTTGATATTTTAATTGTCGTTGAACCTCAAATTTCGGATGCTCGGGCTGTGTCTGTGGTTTGTAAGCTGTGTTTTTCGAATTTCATTCTGTCTCATCCTATTGGTTTTGCTGGTGGTGTGTGGGTTCTGTGGCAGTATTATTCTTGCACTATTCATGAGCTTGTGGTGGATACCCAATGTGTGCATTGTTCTATTTCTTATCCTAGGTATTCTAATTAGTTTTTAACAGCAGTTTATGCTAGTCCTATTCGCGTTCGGAGAGATTATTTTTTGTCTTGTATGGTATATATAGCTAGTCAGTTGCATGTTCCTTCGCTTTTATTTGGGGATTTTAATGATATTGCTAGTCTTGCTGGGAAAATAGGTGGTGCTGTGGCCTCTATTTTTAATTGTTGTCATTTTGTTGATAATTGGGATTGGTGTTCTTTGTTGGATTTGGGTTGTGCAGGTTGTCAGTTTACTTGGACCCATTCTGTTTCAAGTATTGGTGTTATTCAATAGCAGCTTGATAGGGCTTTGTGTAACATAGACTGACGTGGTGCCTTTCCATAAGCTTTTGCTATGTCTTTGCCTCGCTTGGCTTCTGACCATTTCCCCCCTGTTGCTTGATACTAAAGGGTTTTCTCCTTTTCCTGTTAATAAACCTTTTCAATTTGAAGCCGCTCTGGCTATTGGGGAGGATTTTACAACTATGGTAGCTTATGCTTGGAGGTTTCCTCATTCTTCTATTTTCGGGGCTCTCGCTAATGTGCAGGAATAGGCTTGTCGTTGGAATAAGGAGGTGTTTGGTAACATTCATTTTAATAAGAAGATGTTGTTATGTCGCATTAAGGGGGTTCAGGAAGCTCTGCAATGTCATGTCTCTTCTTATTTGCTAAAGCTGGAGCAAGAAATGTTGTTGCAGTATAGTTTGCTCATGCGCTAGGAGGAGGTTTTCTGGTTCCAAAAATCTCCTTCTTATTGGCTTAAGGATGGTGGGTTCGTCAGAAAAAGAGTGAAATTGAGTGCCTGAAGAATGAATATGGGGTGTGGATCTCGGATATGTTATAGCTGAAGAATTTGGCTTGTTCCTTTTATGAGAATTTGTTCGATTGATGCTCAATTCTCTTCCTCTTCTTTGTCAAACATTATTTTTCCATGTTTGTCGGTGGATGCTGTCAGGTTTATGATGAGGCCAGTTTCTAAGGAGGTATGGGGGGATGTATCTATTATGGGTTCTTTTAAAGCCCTTAGACCTGATGGATTTCAACCTTTATTTTTTAAGAAATATTGGGATGTTGTTGGTGATGAGGTGGTTTCGTTTGTTAATCATACCTTTTCTTCAGGTGTGATGCATCTGCATATGGTTCAGGGTTTAATTATTCTCATTCCTAAGGTAGCTGCGCTAGAGGTGATTTCCTAGTTTGCCCGATTACTCTATAATGTTCTGTACAAAGTTGTTATGACGGTTCTTGCTCTTCGATTGCAGCCATTTATTGATGGTTTGATAGGTTGACGCGGAACCCTATGGAAATTAATTCCAAGAACTCTATGACAAGATTTGAAATAGATCAAAGATCAAACAAAACTCCCCTCTATGGCACCCAAAACTTAAAAAAGTAAGAACATCAATAATAGAGTAAAAGAATAAGATAAACGCCACAAGTAAATTGATAAGTTTACCTTGATTCTTGATGTAATTAGAGGAAAGCAATCTCACAATCACTCTAAAGCAAAGAACACACCTAAGCATGAACAAAGTTGAAGAATTTCTATTTCATTGAATTGTTGAATGTCTTGAATAACAACATAACAAAGCTATTTATACTAGATCTAAAGGACCCGATCCTTAAAGGATTTAGAATAATTAATCTAAATCAGCTAAGGATAAGATTAACAAATCTTAACAACTTAAAGGATTTAGGAATAACAAATCCTAACTAACTAAAGATTAGCTAAATCTAAATAAAATAAGGATAAAATAACCAAGGGTGGTCGAATTATAGGAGGCCCAACCCATTAACATTGTTATAACTCAAAATAAACTAACTAATCTCGCAGAAGGCAGACCCTGGCACGGCCTGGGCATGCTATGTGGCACGGGC